GAAGGGCAGCTAGGGGCCATAGTCTCAGTGGTTCCACCAGGCTCTACTGGACCAGCAAACCTGGTCCCAACTGAGGTGGTAAATCTTGATTGCCCAGTCTTGCTTCTGGGGAGTGGCTGATTGCCCAGTCTTGCTTCTGGGGAGTGGTTGGTGGGTTTGAACCACAAACCCTCTGGTTAGCACTCAGATGCCTTAGGCACTGTGCTACTAGAGCTCCTTGTAATGGCAAGAGTAGGGACATACACAACTAGCAAAATTAAAATTACACTTTTAATTATAATAGTGCGTGCAGACAGAACCACTAGATTTGAAACATCATTGTAATTTGGTACTAATGACAGCCCTGATCAGAGCACATTAGAAGGTTCAAAAAGTAAATTAGCATGGAGTTTTAGGCATGTAGGTATAACTGCTAGCTGGGCTTATGAAAATCGTTTTGTTGTTATAACTAACTATAGCATATTTTTATAAAATATAGCATAGTGGCTAAGACACTTGCCTGCTAACCAGATGGCTGGCGGTTCAAACCCACCAGCCACTCCTCGGAAGAAAGGTTGGGCAATCCTACTTCCGTAGTGATACTGCCTCAGAAACCCAAGGAGGGGTCGCTATGAGTCGGGTTTGACTCGACGGCACATAACAACAACAACAACATAATAAATTTCTGCTGAAACACTGCACAAATCTTTTTGAGATAGTCCTTTTGATGTTCTCCCCTCTGATTGTACCCCAGTGATGCCACTGACCTCTACCTAGCCCCTCACATTGTGATTACCCACTCTACAGAATACAGCCAAAAGAGGGTCGAGCACCCCAAACAAGGCACGCTCTGTGAGAATAAGGCCCAAATAATACTCAGAAACATAAAAATAAGACATCCCTTGAAAATGGTGTATTGAAGGAAAAAGAGGGAATGGTGCAAATCACAAAATCCAGCATGACTGTCAAGCCAGGGCTGCTGAAATCCACATTTGTGAAGGGGTGGCATCAAGGAGTACTCAACGCTCCATAGAGAGGTTCCGTGTCTCCTCCCACGATGAGTGTGTGTTTCTCCGTAGTTGTGTACCCTTGAAGTTGGCTTGCGGCCTCAGTTATTCTGTTCATGTTCTCAGAGCACTGACATTCCCCATGTGCATGCTGATGATATGTATCCTGTTGAAATGTGTGTGATTTGGATTGTGGGACTGCTCTGGGACAGTGCCAACACCCCTCCTCCTTACCTGTTTGCTAAATAAACACTGCCCAAGCTCTGGTGACGTAGTGCCTAAGGCGTTTGACCGCTAACCAGAAGGCTGGTGGTTCACATCTACCAGCCACTCCTCAGAAGAAAGATTGGGCAATCTACTTCTGTGAGAGATACCACCATGGAAACCCGAGGAAGGGTCACTATGAGTCAAATCAACTTGACGGCAGTGAGAAGGGAAGCCTGAGGGGCCTCAGAGCAGTACTCACACCACTGCCTGGGCAACAGGACATCAGTGCATCTCTTCTCCACCCAGGGTCATTCTAAATGTCTCTTTAGGCTCAACTGAGCCAATAACAAAGGGCAGAGTGAGGAATTCTGGGTGGTGCAAATGGTTGTGCATTCAACTACAAGCCAAAAGGTTGGTGGTTCAAACCTACGCAGAGGTGCCTTGGGAGACAAGACTGGAGATGGGCTTCTGGAAGGTCATAGCCTTGAAAACTCTTTGGAGCAGTTCTAGGCTGCACTGTGGGGTCACCATGAGTCAGAGTTGACTGGACAGCAACCAACAAGAGCACAACAATGAAGAGCAAAGTGAGATGTCGCACTACCAGAGAGATGGCAGGAAGGTGTCTCAGCTGTGTGAGGCAGGTTCATGTTGTTCATTTCTGTTGGCAGTGCCCAGCTGGGTTGCACTTCGCTTTCTTTCCAGTGGGTACAGCAGGGAGGCCCTGCAGGACATAGAAGCAAGAGAATGAGTAAATTTGAACAGCTTGTACAGATGAAAAGTACCCGAAGGTGCATAAAACACAGGCATGCACCCGGCCTTGTTGATCATTGCTAATTAAAATGTTCCCATCTCTCCTCTTTGTTTACTCTTAAAAGGCAGCATTTCATAGAAGGTAGCTTAGAAAAGAGTGTGTAACTGCTTTGTAGGGTGAGGAGCAATAGAGTTACAGAGCGTGGTGGTCCAGTATTATTAGCCAGTTTATTGAAGACTGATGCAATGCTAGCAGTGGCCCTCAAAGGGATTTTCAATTGGATCAAAACACTTTATCACAGAGCTCTGGTGGCACAATGATTAAGTGCTTGGCTGCTCACTTAAAGGTTGGTGGTTCAAACCCATCAGCAGCTCTGCAGGAGAGAGACCTGGCGATCAGCTTCCAGAAAGATTAAACCCAGTGCTGTCAAGTTGATTCCAACTCATAGTGACTCTATAGGACAGAGTAGAACTGTCCCATAGGGTTTACAGCTAAGAAAACCCTATGGGATAATTTCCCTCTGTTAAATGGGGTCAGTGTGAGTCAGCATAGATTGATTTAACACAACAACGATGAAAATATCAGGAAAACAAAAACATTATATTACTCCATCCATATTGTTTATAAATTGTATAATAAAGGAGTGTTTGACAATGAACCAGTGAGACTGGATCCATGTGACAACACCGCCTATAAAGGAATCCCACCCTTTCATTGGGAGATGTCCAGATTTGAATCCAGTTTTCTGCAGACAGTTCTTCCCCATCATCCCTTCCTTTCTCTGTTAGCAGCCTCTTCTGTCTTCCTCCTCTGTTGCTTTCACAGCATTGACTCCCATCTGTAAGGAGTTCTGTGCCAGAAATTCAAACCCCTAGAACAAAGCATCAGGATTTCTGGAGCACCCAAGGTCTATCTTCATTTTGCACAAGAGCTTAGATTTCATAACTGTATTTTCATGTTTATATGAAAGAACTAACTTTTTCTTGCTTCACCAGGAAAGTCTTACATCTTTGAGTACCTTCTTGTCTTTGACATTAGGTGGAAAACCTTAGTGCATCCTCGGGCACCGCTGGCTCTTCCTTCTCTGCCTGTGGAATTTGTGTACTTCCCTCCGCGTCTCTGCATGCCTCTTTCTTCTGCATATGATCATGTAATTAAAAACAGCCACATGTTCGCTACCTGCCAGGGGTTTCAAAAGCATTCAGGGCCCCGGATAATGCAGATGGTTAACATGCTTGGCCATTAACCAAAAGACTGGAGGGTTGAGTCCAACCAGAAGTGCCTTGGAAGAAAGGCCTGGCAACCTGCTTCCAAGAAATCAGCCATTGTGAACCCTACAGAGCACAGTTCTACTTTGGCGCACATGGGGTTGCCATGAGTTAGAATCAGCTCAATGGCACCTGGTTTGGTTTGGTGTTGCTACGCAAAAGCATTCACTTATAAAACTTCTGGCTACTTCTACGTCAATATTATTATCTCTGTTTCTGGGGGAGGATCCTAAGAGCCAAAGATGCTCAGTTACTTACTCAAGGCTCTAGACCAACATTTGGCAAAGAGCCACAAATTTACATTATCGGTGATTCCAAGTCCTAGGCCTGTTCTACTGCTCACCTTTCCATGTGGCCCCTGGGCTACACCCAGGGCCGGGCAAGTGCTTCCTCTTGGCTCTTTTCAGCGTTCTGTCTGCAGTCCACTGGTTATTTGCGTTTTCCAGCTTGTCCTTGATTCATTCAGAAAAGCCCTGGGCTCCAATGCTGAAAAGCCAGAAAGTGTCAAGAAGCAAGGCTAGCTACACAGGTCACAGCATCACCTACCCTTAGACCAGAAAAACTAGGTGGTACCCAGCTACCACTACTGACCATTCTGATCAGGGCCACAAGAGGTGGACCCTGAAGTAATGGGAGAAAAATATAGGACAAAATTTACATTCTTAAAAATTGCAGATTTGATGTCCCCCAATACCATGGTTGGCACAACACAGTATATAAAAATCTTGTTCCACAGCCGACTTTGGTGAGTACAACTGGGGTCTTAAAAGCTTTCTAGTGGCCATCTATGATGCATCTATTGGTCTCCTCTCATCTGAAGCAAAGAGGAGTGAAGGAAAAAAAAGCCATTTGGAACCAATTAGTCCAAGGATATGATGGACCTCAAGACCAGAAGAACTAGGTGGTGCCCAGCTACCAATGCCAACCACTCAGGAAGGAATCAAAACTGGAGATCTTGGGTAGAGTAGGAGGAAAAATGTGGAACAAAATTCAAAAACACAAAAATGGCCAGAATTACTGGTTGGATGGAGTCTGGAGGGACCCCCAAGACTATGGGATACCCTTTGGGCCTGAGATTGGACCCACTCCCAAGGATTGGCTCTTAGAAGTAGAAAGACTTATGTGCAGAATACCCAGCCCAGGGTGATGCACCCATCTACTCTAGGAGATACATCCCTTGTAGCAAACGGCCACGGGACACCAGAGGGGAAGCAGTCACATGGAGGGAAAGCTGGACAGACAGGAGTGCACAGTTAAGGGCACAAGAAGGTGAGGGGGTCACAGGGATGGGAGCTGAGGAGAGTGTGTTATGGTTGGGGATGGTAATCAGGACATGAAATCAAATGTACACAAACTGTTGAATGTAAAACAAAGTTTGCGCTATAAATTTGCACCCAAAGCGCACAAGCACACACACACACACAAAAGATCTAGTGTAAGTGAACAAGATAAGTAATTCCTCATGATTATATATATATGTTAAGGAATAAAAAAGAAAACACTAAATGTGTAATATAAATTTTTGTGCATAAATGCATAGGAAAAGGACTCAGAAGGATACATGCCAAAGTGTTTAACAGTGGTTATCCCTAGGAATGAGGAAAAGTGAAGGGGACCTGCATATTTCATTGTATGTACTGTTTTTTTTTTTTTTTTTTTGGTTCTTTTAAAGCAAGATATTAATTGATGGGGAAAAAAAAATTCTAGATTTGCTGGACCGCTTGAGATTAGAGGACTTTCTCGGATTATCGCCCTAGATACTCCATAAACCTCGAACCAAAACTACCCCCTGGGGTCACCTTTTAGTTAAATAACAGATTGGCTCATAAAATAAAGACTGTTTCCAATGAGTTCTGTACATCTTTTATAGAATCATCTGTATGAGATCAACTGGTCAACAGTTCTAACAGTTTGCTATAAAGCATAGAGGAAAGGGTACAGAGACAGGGAGAGGAGATGACTGGAATCAAAACAGCCAGAAGGAAATGAATGAGAATGTGGACACATTGTGAGAAACGTAACTGATGTCTCTGAACAATATGTGTTGTAGTTGTTAAATGGAAACCTAACTTGCAAACTTTCACTGAAAACACAATAAAATACTATTAAAGAAGAAGCAGCAGCAAGACTAGGGGAAGGAGATAGATGATGGTAGTTGCCAATGACTTTAGGAAAGTGAACCATCCTTGGCTTTGAAATGTCTGTATTTGCTCTTTCAGTATTCCATCTGCAGCGAGCCCCTCATTGAGCTGTCCAACCCCGGGGCCAGCGGTTCCTTGTTTTTTGTGACCAGTGATGACGAATTCATCATCAAGACCGTTCAGCACAAGGAAGCAGAGTTCCTTCAGAAATTACTGCCAGGGTACTACATGGTGAGTTACTGCGTGTGATGAAAGCCCTATCTTAATTACTGTCACAGGAGGGACAGTGAGAGGTTCGAATCCATCCAGAGGCACCTTGAAACAAAGACCTGGTGATCTGCTTCCCAAAGGAGGAGACACCAGCACACAGTCAGTACACTCCTGAGGTGTTTTCCGAGTGACTGTCAGTCATGTTGCTTTGCCTCTGGTGAACTTCCTTTTGTGTTCAGACTATACTGTCCCTTCATTGAATAGATTTTAAAAAGTGAGTAAGCCTTGAGCAGTAGGGCATGATTGTTGAATCATAGTTCTGGGTTCAGATCCCAGCTCAGCTATCAACTCATCATGAGACTATGAGTAAGCAGCATCATCAGTGTTTTTAATAATATTTTATTGTATTTCAGATGAAAATTTGTACTGCAAATTAGGTTCCCATTTAACAATTTATACACAGACTTTTGGGAGCTCTGGTGGCGTAGTGCCTTAAGGCATTTGAGTTACCAGAGGCCTGGTGGTTCAAACCCACCAGCCACTCCTCGGAAGGAAGGTTGGGCAATCTACTTCTGTAGAGATACCGCCTCGGAAACCCAAGGAGGGGTCGTTATGAGTCAGGACCAACTGGACGGCAGTGAGTTTGGGTTTTTTGTTTTTTGTTTTTTTGGTCTATTCAGTATTATTGGTCACATTTTTTCACCATGTGTCATTGTTCTCATTTATTCCATTCTAGTTGGTCTGTTTCCAGTACTCTAGTTTCCTTTCCCCCTTACCTTCTCATCTTTGCATTGGAGTCATTGTTGACCATTTGGCCTCCTATTGATGGTTGTCTAAAGGAGCTCATTATTTGCGGGTGATATTCTTTTTTTGAGGAGCCAATTTGTTATTTAGCTGATCTGAGTCAGTCTTTGTCTTTGTTGATGTTAGGTGTGCTCGAGTCAGTTCTAACTCATAATGACCCTGTGTACAACAGAACAGAAGTTCTGAGTCAGTCTTTAAAAGCTGGGAAATAACCTGTCATACCTTGTTGCTGTGATAAAGGAAGGGTATAGGATTTAGGATGAAGGAAGTATTGCCAAGCTCCTTGTACCCAGTAAACAGTGACAATAAGTGCCTCCCATTCATGGTGAGCTCACTAGGTATCAGGTATGGCTGTCAGTACTCTAGTGTGCAAATTCACCGAATCTTTGTAGCAACCTTCATTCCCATGGTTATCTTTGTCTTACAGGTGGGATGATTGAGGCGAAGATAAATCAAATACCTGGTTCAGGGTGTCTTAGTTCTCTAGTGCTGCTATAACAGAAATACCACAAGTGGATTGCTTAACAAACAGTAATTTATACTCTTGCAGTTTAGGAAGCCAGAAGTCCAAATTCAGAATGCCAGCTCTAGGGGCTGGGTAAAGGCCTTTCAACCTTGGGCTTTGGCTCTGCCTCTTATTCCAGGCCCACGGAGCTGGAGGCATCTCCTAACTGAGGCAGCTGCTGGCTGCTGAGGCTGACAAACCCAAGGTCATTAGGTAAAATGATAGGATCACAAGATCAGTAGGTGACACGGCAGGCCACTGGTTCAAGTCCAGGAAGAATCCCAAGATTGGCAGGCAACACATCAGGCTGTTGTTTTAAGACCAGGAACTGGAAATGAAGACTTGGCCAAATGCAGGATTCAAATGTGTCAAAAAGCTAGAGATCTTCCTCAAAACTTCTTTATATATACAGGAAGCAGGCCACTCCCCAAAGGCAACTAATTAGGTGCTCATATCAGATTCTACTGTGGAGATGACTACACCATATCCAGTTGCCAAACCCCTCAAAACCATGGCTCAGCCAAGTTGACACACAGTTTTAACTACCACACAGGGTTATTCAGCTAATGAGCTGCAGAGGTGGGACTTGAATACAGGCATTCAGGTTCCAGAGGTGGCATTTTTAACCCCGGCACTATACTAGAAAACTACATTCACTGCCATTGAGTCAATCCTGACTTATAGCAACCCTATAGGACAGAGTAGAACTGCCTCCATGGAGTTTCCAAGGCTGTAAATCTTTGTGGAAGCAGACTGCCTCATCTTTCTTCTGTGGAGCAGCTGGTAGGTTTGAGCCACCAGTCCTTAAGATAGCAGCTGAATGCTTAACCATTGCACTACCAGAGCACTGTTCACGGTATATATTTAATATCAGCTACTCTTAGCAACTACACTTTAGAATTTAGGATGTCATAGTTTAAATATGATAACATAAACAAAATCTCTTCTTATAGTCTCAGATACAAAGAAACAGTAACTTAGCCCAGATGGATTTATTGGACATATAGTCCAAGCTTTTAAATGTGCCTAAGTGGTCCTGTCATTTTCTTAGCCCTGATTTCTTTGTATGGAGTCCCTGAGTGGCACAAACAGTTAACCTTCAGCTACTAGCCAAAAGGTTGGAGGTTCGAATCCACCCAGATTCACTTTGCAAGAAAGCCCCTGGATATCTGCTTCTGAAAGGTTGCAGCCATTGGAAGTCCTAGTGAGCAGTTCTCCTCTGACACATACAGGGTTGCTGTGAGTCGAAATTGACTAAGCAGCAAAGTGGCCTGGGGTTTCTTTGTACTTTCATAGCAGTTATTCATTTTCTGTGATTGGAGTGCTACATGGAGACGTTTGGATTTCAAAAGCCCCAGTTCCCCCATTCACCAGCTATGAGAGGTGACCATTACCATCTTTGTCTCAAAACAAAATTGGTGAGCAGCCACATAGCTCATTTGTGTTTAAAAACACAGTTTTCATTCCCACATCAGATGGAGAACATGAAGTGTATAAGCCAATCCCACATCTACATAGAACAGTCGTAAATCTAAAGAGCAATCTTAGTGGGTAGCATGCACAGATTTTAAAAGGTTTTGGTCCTGAATAAGCAGGTTTATCCCATTCATTCAACAAATGGAACAAACACTATGATTCATCTCACTCAAGAAAAAATGTGAACATCAGATGCTTTCCCAGTACATGCTAAGGAAAAGCTACACCAGAGTCCAACATCTCCTGTTAGTTAAATCTCTGAAAACTGCTAGGGAAGGTTTCTCCAATATAACAAGTAAACAGATGAAATGCATGCATATACGTGTATTGATCTCTAAGAGTTCACACAGTCTCTCATGGAGAAGACCAAGAGCCTTTGCCCTGGAAATAACAAGGGAAGACGACAAGGGTGCCTGTCATCCCTTTTTCTCTCTGACACATTTGTTAGGAAATCCGGCAGATAATGTTTTGAGTGGAAGCAAGACTAGAAGTAAGCATCAGCACTATTCTCTGGAAATGGTACAATTGAGAATGAGGCAGATTTTAAGAAAGTAGACTAGTGGTCTCTAGAATAAAAGGGGTCCAGCAGATTTGCAGGCTATAAGCTAAAGCTACCAAATCCATTGTGTTCCATTTTATAGGTCATGTGAAACAGATGGTAGAATGCAAAAAAGAGACATTGTTCGTGGTGACAGTAAACCTGCTGCCATCAAGTCGATTCCAATTCATAGGGACCTGCATTGGGTTTCCAAGGCTGTAAATCTTTACAGAAGTGGATTTCCTCATCTTCCTCCCATGGAGCAGCTGATGGGTTTGAACCACTGACCTTCTGATTAGCAGCTAAATACCTTACCCACTATGCCACCAGAGCTCCTTATGATGACAATAATCAACATTTTTTTTAAGTTAATGAACATTATGAGAAAAATAAAGATGTAAATAAATGAAGGCATTATTCCAATTGGGAAAGCAAGTTGTTGTATTTATAATGCATGAATAGTAATCAATTAAAAATATTGTTGGTAATAACAAGAAAAACTTTAAAATACCTGAGTCTATAAAAATGAATGTATAAGACCAATATGAAGGAAACTTCAAAATGCTTTTGAAGGGTGTAAAAAACCATCTTAAAGGACAGAGATAGGCATCGTTTCCAGATTCAAAATTGTGAAGATATGAACTACCTCTGAATCAGTGTATTAATCTGGTCTAGTTCCGATAAAAAGTCCAATGGGATTTTTCCAAGAAGCAGCTGTTTCTTTTGGAAGAGAAAGCAAGTATCATTTCAACAGCATAGTTAAAAATGAACAATGGAAGAGAAGGTTGTAAGAATGAACAAAACATTTTGAAAAGGATAGTGGGATGAAGGGCCCAAACATATACCAAAAGCTTATTGAATTATACTAACCATAAAGACAGAGTGTTATTACAGTTCTAAAGAAATAAATGAATTGTTACACTTGAACTGTGGTATTGGCAAAGAATATCAAAAATACCATGGACTACCAGGAGAAGGAACAAACCTGTCTTGAAAGAAGTACAGCGAGAATGCTCCTTAGAAGCAAGAAGGTCCAGACTTTCTCTCTTCTACTTTGGACATGTTGTCAGAAGGGACCAGTCCCTGGGGAAGGACATCATGCTTGGTAAGGTAGAGTACCAGCAAAAAAGAATCCCCTCAATGAGGTGGATGGACACAGTGGCTGCAACAATGAGCTCAAGCACAGCAATTGTGAGGATGGTGCAGAACCAGACAGTGTTTCATTTTGTTGTGCATAGGGTCTCTCTGAATCGGAACTGACTCAACGGCACCTAACAACAACAAACAAATGGCTCAATGGATTCAAATCAAGTTTCTAGAAATAGGCCTGTGTGTCTTTGATAATCTACTGTATGATGTAAGGGGAACATAGACTCTCTTGAGAAAGAATAAATGGCTATCCATTTTGGGGGAAATTAAATAACTTCCCCATTTCAAACTTTTCACACAAAAGTATCACATCCATATGGAATCAAGAGCAAAACTATTAAAAATTTAGAATAAAAATAGAATAAATTTATAACCTTGGAGTATAAAAAGCTCTGGGAAACAAGATGAGAAAAGAAAAGGACAAGAAAAAAATAGATACATTCTATTCATTCTATACGTTCTACAATAAAGCATCTGTATAACAAAAATATTCCAGATACATACATAACAGAAGCACATAGAGGATTGCCAGAATGCTGGGATAATCCAGTAATTTCCAAAAGTGGGGAGAGGACAAGAGCAGTGGTGGCAAAGAGACTTTTCACGATATACACGTCCTTTAAGATAAACCAAATCCACTGTCATTGAGTCAATTCCAACTCACAGCAACCTTTTAGGACAGACTGGAACTACCCCATAGGGTTTTCAAGAATGTAAATTTTTGTGGAAGCAGATTGCCTCATCTTTCTCCCACAGATCAGTTAGTAGATTTGAACCACCAGTCTTTTGGGTAGCACCTGGGTGCTTTAACCATTAGTCCACCAGAGCTCCCTTTCCTCACCTACTTTTAAAATGGAACAAAAATAGGTTGTGTATTCCCTATTTTTACAATAATAAAAAAGGACAAACAGTATAATGGGAAAAAATATTTACTCTCTGTAGATAACCAAACCAAACCCACTGCCATCGAGTCAGATCCAACTCATAGTGACCCCTCCTTGGGTTTCTGAGGTGGTATTGCTATGGAAGTAGAGTGCCCAACCTTCCTTCCGATGAGTGGCTGGTGGGTTTGAACCGCCAGCCTTCTGGTTAGCAGTCAGTTAGAGCTTCCACTGGGGGGAGAGATTAGGCACTGTGCTACTCTCTCTATAGATAGGAAAATGATAAATAGCCAGAGTATATCAAGAACTCCAATGACAAAAACATATGGAAAGATTAGCAAAAGATATTCATACAAAATTATTGAGGTGATACAAATGGCCCAAAATACATCAAAATATCAAATGTTTACAATAATCAGTGATATTCACATTTAAAAAAATAAGTTTCCACTTTTCCCTTATCATACTTTCAAACCTTGAATGTATGGTAAGAGTGAAGGGATGTGTGCAGTCCTGCACCTTGCTGTTGGAATGGTAACTGGGACTAGCTGTTTTGGAGGGCAGGTCTTCATGGGCTACCAAAATTTAAAATGTTCATTGTTTATACCCTAGCAGTTGATTTTCCCTCCCGCCACCTTAGAATATGGCCACCCTCACACCAGATAATGCTTTGCCTGTTTTCCCCATCACTGTCAAGTTGATTCCCGCTCACAGTGACCCCCGTAGGACAGAGTAGAACTACTCCATAGGTTTTCCAAGCCTGTAAATCTTTATGGAAGGAGACTTTCACATCTTTCTCACGTGGAGAAGCTGGTGGATTCAAAACACCAACCTTTTGATTGAAAGTTGGGTGCTTTAACACTGCACCATTAGGGCTCCTTTGCCCATTTTTAATTGGGGCTAATTTGGGAATTATGTCCATTTTCACTGCAGCCACTTTTCAAGCCCTGAGTTTTGAGTGATGAAGTCATTGTTCCAATAAGCAAACTTAAGGAATAAATAAGATACAGCAACATTTTACCAATGACCATTAGTAACGAGAATTAATCCAAATGATTTTCATGTTTGCATGAAAACCCATCTTTCATGGGCATGGTTTTATAAAAATGGGAAATTTTAAATGTATTTCCCTTTTCCTGTTTTCAGAATTTAAACCAGAACCCAAGGACTCTTTTGCCAAAATTCTACGGACTGTACTGCATGCAGTCCGGTGGCATCAACATCAGGATTGTGGTGATGAACAACGTCTTGCCACGCACCATGAGGATGCACTACTCGTACGACTTGAAAGGCTCAACCTATAAACGAAGAGCATCCCGAAAGGAGAGAGAGAAGTCCAACCCCACGTTCAAGGACTTAGACTTCCTGCAGGACATGCACGAAGGGCTGTATTTTGATACTGAAACATACAACGCACTGATGAAAACACTCCAGAGAGACTGCCGGGTAAGGCATGTCCCCACTGTCATTCCCTTTGAAAGGTCATCTGTGGTAAGGTCATCCTGGGCTACCACTCATCAAAAGCATAGAAATAACGAATGTCCAGTGTGGACACATGGAATTGCATCTTTCCCAGTCCCAGTGCTGATCCAGGTTTCTCTGAGGTTGAAGGGAATGATCAAGGAATCGTCTGGAGTCTTCTCTGTTGATTTTATAAGTAAGGGAAGTCGGCTTCAGAGTCCCTGGGTGGAGTAACCAGTTAGCATGCTCAGCCACTTACTGAAAGTTTGGAGATTCCAGGCTACCTAAAGGTACCTCAGAAGAAAGGACTGTTGCTCTACTTCTGAAAAAATCAGCCATTGGAAGCCCTACAGAACACAGTCCTACTCTGACACACATGAGGGTTGAAATCAAGTTAATGGCAACTGTTGTTTTTTTTTTTTTTTTTAAAGTCAGCTTCCTTGATAAAATGAGTCATGAAAGCTTTTTCTTTTTGTCCCAAACTGTGATGAAGGTAGTTAAACTAGGGTCATAAGAAATTGAGGCTTAATGCTGTGATTGGCAAGGAAAGCCGTATACAGAACTCAGAGGAAGTGAGCTTCCACTGGGGAGAGAGATTTGGAGAAAATGCCCTTGGTGAGATGAACTGTAGATCCCAGTGTGGGTGCAGAACCATTCCCATGAGCAGCATATGTGCTGAAAGTGTTTTATGCCAACTGAATGAAAGGCAGTCATTTGTGCATACTTAACCAGGGCTGTCAGAAGTCAGAAGAAATTCATGGTCTGCAATCTCTTAGTCTGCAAATGAAGTAAGGCCAACGCTTAAGCAAGATTTTTCTGACCTGTGCACTTATGGAGCACAGGTAAAAGTCTTTTTGGAGAAAAAGATGAGACAAGTCTAGTGCCTTCTGAGAAAAATGATCATTGGATTAACAGATCCTCAGGAGTATCACCCCCTAGCACTTGGGAGGAAGATCCAGGCACTCAGCTTAGCTGGGCCTAGTGGAGGGACAGAGAATAGAGGGGAGCGGAGAGTGCAGTGGATGGGGGCCGATGTGCAGGTGGAGGGGTCACAATGCATGGTGGAGGGGGTAGAGAGTACGGTGGAGGGGCAAAGAGCTCAGTGAAGGGGGCAGAGGGCTCAGTGGGGAGGGCAGAATGCAGGTGGAGGGGGCAGAGGGCATAGTGGAGGGGCAGAGGGTGTGGAAGGGAGCAGAGAGTATGACAGGGCAGGGTTGGGCCTAGGCCTGGCAGTGCTGTTTACAGGGGTGAGTAGGGCTCACAGAGCTTGGCTGGGATTTTCTTTTCAGGCTATAGCTCTCTGGTCTTCTGAAGGCTTAGAAAGGTGACCAACATCATTGCAGGGGATGGGATGTACTTCTCTGCCCAACCTCAGCTCACCTGAAGGTGAGGAGGACAGTGTAACCTCCGGTCCAACAGACAAAGTGGGAAATCCTCAGAGGAACCAAAACCCAAAAACCAATTTCCATCCAGTTAATTCCAAGTCACGGAGCCCCCACATGGGTCAGAGTGAAACTGTGCTCCACTGGGTTTTCAATGGCTGATTTTTCAGAAATAGATTGCCAGGTCTTTCTTCTGAGGTGACTCTGGGTAGACTCAAACCGCCAACCTTTTGGAAAGCAGATGAGCTTGTTAATTGTTTGTGCCACCCAGTGACTCCTTGAGCAGCAGTATCCTACGGTTTCTGGATTTTCCTTTCTATACCTGCCATAACATACATGCTAATGCATGAGAAGGAGTCCTTGGTGTCATTTTCTCAGTGACAGGAATTTTCCTTCCCATCCCTACTCTTCAGCTTCCATTTAGTGAGTTCTTACAGCAGACCAGGCTAGGCGAAGATTTTTTGGTGCATTTTTACTTTTAATTCCTTGTCAACCCTTTGAAGACTGTACTATTCACATTCCCATTTTAATTTCTGAGGAGTTCCATTCTCAAAGAGGTTTTGAAACTTGTCTGGCATTGCTTAGCAGGTCAGTGGCACAGCCCACAGCTGTTTGGGAACAAAGTATAAGCTTCAGCTGAAATTTATAGATTTTCTGGGTTAGGCTTTCCCTCCCCCCTCAGAAGGCAAAGGAGGTATAGTGGGAACCAAGCAAATGAAGAAAAAAAAAAATTGTTCAGCAGAGCTATTCAGATAACTTAGTGGGGTGGATATGAGTGATTCATATCTTTTTTAATGAATAAATAAAAACAACAGCCACAATTTAGAAGAAAGCCTTTCCTTGTATTTACCCTTCAGAATGTGGGTGAAATGTGACTCTCAATTCCCCAGAGTGCAGCATGAGCCTCTCCAGTGTTAGACTTGCTTTCTCTGTCTGTGTGTGTCTTGCCTCTTGAATATGGAAAGACTTTTTCCACTCTCTTCTGAAACCACGTGCTTTAGTGCCAGAACAAAAGGAAAGATCCGGTATAACAGCCCCATTGCACAGGAATTGTCTGTTTATTCACTCTTCCTGAGCCCAAGACAAGTGGATCAAGGGCAAACACTACTCTTCCTCAGGAATGAGACCCTGGAGAGTGGGTTTTTTTTTTTTTTTTTTTTTTTAGGTTTGTGATTCTAGAAACATCCTGTTAAAGGTCAAGTGTAGAGGTATCCTAAGACTAACTCCTTGTCACTTGATGCATTTGACCTTCCACAGGACATACCAAACTCACTGCCACTGAGTTGGATCTGACCCAAGACATGTTGTTGTTATGTGCTGTCGAGTCGAACCTGACTCACAGCAACCCCTCCTTGGGTTTCTGAGGCGGTATCACTATGGAAGCAGATTGCCCAACCTTCCTTCTGAGGAGTGGCTGGTGGGTTTGAACCACCAGCCTTCTGATTAGTAGTCAAATGCCTTAGGCACTGTGCTACCAGTGAGACTCAAGACACAGGGGTTGGAAATTCACTCTAAAGTTCTTCAAAGTAGGCACAGTGGCTTCAGAGAGGCATCTGTGAGAGGTAGCATGGGAGTGTGTGGAGTGCCTGGGGGGTGCAAATGATTCACATGTTGTTCCAAACTGAAAGTTTGGAGGGTCCAGTCCACTCACAGGAGCATCTGAAGAAAGCCCTGGAGATATACTTCTGAAATATCAGCCACTGAAGAACCTAAGGAGTACAGTTCTCCTCTAACCCAATGGGGGCATCTGGAGTTGGAGTTGACTCCATGGCAACTGGTTGGTGAGGATGAAGTCAGTGACATCATAGCTTGGTTTGAAGGATGGAGAGCTAGTCTCCAGGTAGGCAAAGCATTTGTTGTTGGGTGCCGTCCAGTTGCTTTCAACTCATAGTGATCCCATGTGATGGAGTAGAACCATCCTATTTCCTATGCTATAATCTTCCTATGCAGATCACCAGGTCTTTCTCCCTTGGAGGCACTGGTTGGGTTCAAACCATCAACCTTTTGGTTAGCAGCTGAGTGCTTAACTGTTGTACCAGCAGGGATCCATAGGTAAGGCAATTAAAAAAAAAAAAAAAACACTGCCATTGAGTCATAGCAACCCCATTGGGTTTCCAAGGCTATAAATCTTTATGGAAACAGAATGCCTCATCTTTTTTCTAAGAAGCAGCTGGTGGGTTCGAACTGCTGCCTTTTGGTTAGCAGCCAGATGCCTTCTCACAGCACCACCAAGGTTCCTTGTAAGATAAGACAATAGAAGCATCTATTTCTAGGAGAGAATAATGTAACTAGGCATGACATCACATAAGGCGTTCTGGGAATCACAGTTGTTTGGTTTTTTTGGCAGTTAATAGTTAAGGAGAGCACACAAGGATGGAGAGAGAAGTTGGCAGAGGTCCAGTGAGTCTAAGTCCTCTTAAGGGTTTAGAAGTGGCAAATCCAAGAATTCCAGGTCTCAGGGCCCCAGCTGTGCTGTGGTTCCCCAGACAGGCATAATAAGTCTGCTGTCCTCTTGCTGACCATACTTGCTTCCACCTCCATCCCCATCTTTCATATTTTGTCCTAATATCTCAGACCTGGAGCTCCATTTCCCTGATCATGACTGCTGGCTGGACCACACCTATGTGACTTAGCGACCCAGCCTGACCCCCCTCATGCCCTGCTTCCCATCAACACCTTCCCGAGTCCCCCATCAGACATGTATCTAAATGACCTGAGTAACCACATCCCACAATGAGCCCTCTTGAAAAGTGCCATCCCTGCCTAACATCCCTAAATAGCCCAAGCCCTTTCCCTACCACCCCTGGTCCAGCCCACCTTCAGGCCCCTGTGAGGGTGCGTCCCTGACCACCTCCTCCACTCTGAGCTTTGGAAAACTGAGCTCACCCTGTGCATCAACCCTGCTGAGCCCTCAGGATTCCAACAGGGGGCTCCTCCCAGAAGCAAGGGCTCAGACCCACATGGCTGTCCCTGTTGGCTGTGTATGGGAAAGCAGGTATAAATGATCGGTCCCTCTCTTGACTCATCCCTTGACCTCACCCCCTGCTGCCTAGTGTGATACCATCTGCACTTATAGTGAGCTTGGCCCAGGGAAAGGGTGACATCACTGGTCACTGGCTGTCAAAAACAAGAAAATTGGATTTAGCCCAGCCATCCCCTGTGATTCCCACATAGTGAACAAGCTGAGCTGCACTGTATTTGAAAGCTGCTCTTCTAGCCTCTCTGTCATCTCCCCCAAGCCTATCCCTCTGCCTGTCTTCCCTGTGTCATGGAATGTCACCATGATGTAGCCAGCTGCCTAAATTCATGTCCTGAAGCTACGCTTTCCTCCCTTCTCTTCCTCTTTGTCCAAAACTGAACCAAATCTGTTGCCATGGAGTCAATTTTGACTCATAGTGACCCTTTAGAACAGAGTAGAACTGCACCATTGGTTTCCAAGGCTATAATCTTTACAGGAGCAAATCACCAGGTCTTGCTTCTGTGGAGCCATTGGGTGAGTCTGAACCGCCAACCTTTTGGTTAGCAACCAAGCACTTTAACCACTGCACCATCAGAGCTTCTCAGTAGGTACTTAGTAAATGTTGATTGGGATGTGTACTTGAA